AGAGCGTCTGATTTCAGCTCTAAGTGGGCCAAAAGGGAGGCATACACACTGCTGCTGCAGTTTCACTCTAAGCTGATCTAAAATAAGCCAGGAAAACTGCAAGGCTGATTCCTTCATTCCTGAAATGACTAGCTGCAGGAGTGGGAGAGGATGAGCAACCATGAAGGAACAGCTGTGGTCTTCTGCTACTTGCCATTCCAAATCCCCTGCTCTAAGTGCTGGCTTCTGCAGCACCCCTCCCCTTTGGAGGCAGCGACGGCTGACTAGGAGTAGTTAACCTATCTGAAGACTAGCAGAAAAACACTAAGTTTTTGGGTTTTTTTTTTTAACACTAACAAAAGCTGGATACATCTGTGGTAGAGAAGCACGATGGCTTTTGCTGGAGCAGGTTTTGGGTGCAGGCAGAAGACAAAGTCAGTGTGGGAGCCTCCCTCCTTGCCAGGGTCAGGGAATACTGCTCTCCTGCACAGGCAGGGCCCAGGCAGTGGTCACGGGAGAGGGCAGAGACAGTGCAAGCCCTGCGTACCCACCGCAAGCTACTAATCCAGGCCCCTCACCCCCTGGCAAGTCAACAAGGACAGAACGATGGAGGCAGATTCCAGGCCAGCCCAGTAGGAAAAGCTTCTAGATACAAAAGCAGCAAGGGGCAATACGGCTTCTTTAGGTGGAGCCAGTAAAGCAAAGGAACAGCATCAGTTGGCAGAGCTTTGTGCTAAGGAGTTTCTAGGACAGGGTAGCAGACAGACAGACAGACAAACTGACTTCCTTGTTGCAGGCTGACCCTGGGGACCAAATGGACTCTCACCAGCTTGTAGCTTCCATCACATAAAGAGTCTGTAATGTTAAATTTCCAGATTTCTACAGTGAATACCTGATTTTACCAGGCCCCTTCATGGATGAATCACACCCACAATTTTGGCTAAAGGAGCTGTTCCTGCAGTATCGCAGGTAAAGATGCGTATGCACCAGCTTTCTGTAAAAGGAACAGCCTCCGTCTCTTGTTTGCTCCCCATCTTGACCCACCTGTAATCTGTCTAACAGAGAAGAGGCCTAGACTGAACGACAGACTCCACAGGTTCAGCAAACAGAGCAGACACTCTGAGGAAGATCTCCAGCCAGAAATGGGCAACAAGATGACAGCAGCAGTAGCTGGGAAGCAGGACCGGACTGGTTTTAGATCTACAGGGGTGATGGGAGACAAACACAGAGCACACCAGGAGAAAGCTATGGCACAATGGACACCAAGGATGATGGAAATGAACTGAAGACAAGACAGCTAACGTGGTGGATTCACTGAAGAGACACGCACGGGGGTAACAAATGCCAGGCCATGCAATCGCCAAAGGGTCTAACCTGAAAGTTCTCAAAATGCATCAGGGACTTGCAGTGTGCGAGCCGGGCAGCAGAGTCGCTATGGTAGAATTTGTGACACAGCCTGCAGAGGTAACCTGCGACGGGGACCAGAAAATCCAGGCCTGCGAAACGGGAGGGGAAGGGAAATCACAGATCACATTGAATGGAAC